ACATCAGCCTCTGGTCTTCCTATCCTCGTCACTTCCTGCAGTACAACATTACAATCTCTGCATCAATGTTGATTTTAAGGTCTCAGAAGTATTGTATCTGTTGAGGTTTTCGTTGCAAAATGTTCCATTTTGAGTAATTAAAAAGAGGCATAATTGAGGTTCCGCTCCACTACAGACGACACGGAATAGAGTGTTTCCTATCGCCGAAGTGTCCATTACTAAAACGATGTTGATGGACCATCTATACAACCACTCAATAAACCCGAGATACTAGGATCCAGTATAGATGGTATTAATATTACCTTGAGGTAACAAACAAGTAGTTCGTTCATTGACGGGTCGGCATTCAGATTGACGAGGTAGTACTTGTCTGACCTCACTCCGATCCCGGCCTCCTGGATGGATATCCCCATGTTCTCCAGTGCTTTCTGCCGCTCCTGACCAAGAGGAATAGAGGAATAGGTTACAAATGGAGAGGCAGTAGCAAACCAACACTGGGCCATCTATTTTACATGTTCTGACACACGCCCTTTTTGTACATAGAGGTTGAATGGAAAGAAGAAGGTATCGAGAAATAGGTTACAAATGGAGCTTAATTGCATTCTTGTACTGGGCGGCCCTATCAATCTTACATGTTCTGACACACCCCCTTTTTGTACATAGAGGTTGAACGGGAAGAAGTAGTAATAAAGAGAGAAACGGGGGGAGACAGTGGTACACACACCTGGTGAATCCTCTCGGTGGCCTTGACCCTCTGCTCCCAGGTCATGGTCATCTCCTGCATCAGGCTCTCACTGATCCTCAACTTCTCCTGCAGCTCCGTCATCTCCCGCGTGCTTGATGACCCCAGCCCGCCGGCCCCCGCCCCTTCTCCGCCCGCGCCAGCCCCGCCCGATATCTCCAGCATCTGCCTCAGTTTCTCCACCTCCTCTCTTAGCTCCCTTATCACCTGGAGGAATGAAGAAAGAATGTGTAAAAATAGCTGAGAATAGTCATCGAGATTGCCTAAAAATGGGGGGTTGCGTAATCCGACCGAAATGCTGAAGTAAAGAGCGTTTCGCAGACCAAAATAGAGGATTTGATGGCAGCCCCGAAATTTACACAAATTGTTTTTTCGCTCTCTCCCTCGCACTCACCCGGGAATTCTTGTCCTCGTTGACGACGGCATGATTGACGATGCGTTTTGCACGGTCGGCATATCTCAGTGTTGACAGACTCTCCTCGTAGTTATCGGAGGCGGGGCTCACCGTGGCAATCATCACCGTCTTACTGTTGCCGCCCAGATTATCCTGAGGTGGGCGGAGTCGAGTGGATCGATATAAATAGCAACACGAGGTAATCGTTACTATAAATACCTTCAGTAGCCACGTCAGGATGGAGTCTCGGTAAGGGACAAACGAAGTCTTTCCTTTCTTTCCTGAAGACTGAACGAAAAACAAAAAAACGCTTTCAGATTCGACATCCCTATAAAATTCTAGTCAGTACATAAGGGCTAGATATAGAAAATATCGAACTGAACAACAGGGACCAGTGAAAGGATGCTTTTTTAGTAATTTAGCTCTCATATTAGTGACACATTACCTACAGTTTACCTATACCCTACAAAATGTCTGCAGAAAGTGATGCTCACCATGTCAGCCAGAGAGGAAATAACGAGTCCCAACGTCGTGAGACTCTTGTTGATGTTGCTACCTTCCTTGAGTCTGTCTCCGAGAGCACCCGTCTTCCCCGCCCTCTCGCTGCCGGCGAGATCGACCAGACTCATCTTGGCCACCTTCTCCATCCCTAGCTGCAAGCAAGGGAGAGATGGGGGCGAAGAGAGAGGAGAGATGATCGTGAAAATCGTGCGGAATTTCACGACACAACTGAAAACAAAGTTTACATAGTTTCAGAATTGTGTATGGAGCTAACATTGATATCTTTTACACGTTCTTAGTGTATATTAATATATTATTATAATAATCTGTAAAATCGAAATCTGTACTCCAAAGATTGTCCCACCTGAGATTTAGGGTCAAACTCTGTCTGAGTGATAACGATGGAAAACACGGCGTGAGATCGAGAACTCTCGGCGTTCATCTGCGTGGCTGCCACCGTCCGCGACTTGTTGCCCTCCGACATCACCTCGTTGATGTCTATGAACGACGTCACCGCCAGCTTCGACAGACCCTCCACGTACGGACCCAGACTCTTGTGCTCTCTCACTTTCAGCGAGTGTTTACCTCTGCAGGAGGTCAGGGTTGAGAAATAGTCTTATTTCACAGAACTATGACAATTTCTCGCCGCCCCTTCTCTCTTTTTCCTCCCCACTTCTCGCCTGCCCCCCTTCTCTCTTCTTCCCTCCCCACTTCTCGCCTGCCCCCCTTCTCTCTTCTTCCCTCCCCACTTCTCGCCTGCCCCCCTTCTCTCTTCTTCCCTCCCCACTTCTCGCCCGCCCCCCTTCTCTCTTCTTCCCTCCCCACTTCTCGCCCGCCCCCCTTCTCTCTTTTAATTTTGGTTTGGGGGGGGGGGGGGGGGGGGGGGGGGGGGGGGGGGGGGGGGGGGGGGGGGGGGGGGTGGGGGGGGGGGGGGGGGGGGGGGGGGGGGTGGGGTGGGGGGGGGGGGGGGGGGGGGGGGGGGGGGGGTGGGCCGCCCCCCTTTTTCTTTTCCCTCCCCACTTCTCGCCCGCATTCCTCTTTTATCCCTCTTGTCATCCTCTCTCCCACCCATCTCCTCTCTTTCTCTTCCTTCTCTCTTTAACCTTTCTCTCTCCTTACTTTCTTACCGTCTCTTTTCTCTCCTTATTTTTTCTCTCACCCTCACCCCTCTCAAATTATTGTACTAATTGACAGGGGCTTACCCTTTAGGGCATAGAAGATCTCTGACTTTCTCGCAGTATATCTCCATGTAGGCCACTTCCACCTTGTAACTCATTCTCGAGTTGGCCATCTTCCCCTGTGGAAAACCAGGACGGGACATATATAATTATAGTGGGCTTGTTTGCTCTGCCTTCCCTTGCTACATGTCCTTATTGACACATGCCAGTACCATGCAACAGAAAGTGGCTTACAAGGAATGAAAATTTAACAAAGTTGAAAGCAGTATAAGACACCGCAGGAGAGCTTCATTAGGCTTACTGATGGTGTCAACCCAGTGTTTCCCGCAGGGTAATATTCAAACAGGGTGTTTATGAATACGTTAACCCCCACGGAATCGAAAAGGAGTGAGGGTCAAACCATATCCACAATTGCCTTTTTTGCCATGTTGTGTGTATATATACCTCAGCGATTCGATCAAACATGGTGTCACAGAGTCTGGGGATGATTCCTTTGAGGCTGTCTTCTGTGAGCGAGCCCATCATCGTGTATGATTTGCCTGACCCTAGACACAACAGAGAGAGGGGGAGAGAGGGAGGGGAGAGAGAGAGAGGGAGAGGTGGGATTTCACACTTTGCATCATATCGATTACTCTGCATAGTGGGAATATTTTGAAGGAGAAAGCCTTCGCGATCTGCAGTATGCTAGTGAAAAATGTCACAGATTGCTATATTATACTTCAACCATATATGTAGAAGATTCTTGCACACAATTTGCAGAGAAAACCTTACAGGTACAGATTTCCTCCTCTCTTATAGGGTATATTCCCACTATAGCAACAGTACAGATAATGCATGGATGGAGCCTCTGTCATAGGGAAGACTGAGGCATATACCAATATTATTATGGATTGATGCATTCCAATGCATATCAACGTTAAGTTGAGTCTTCACACAATCAGACACCCCACCCCCCCGGGTGCTCACGTATCTATATACCTGTCTGTCCGTAGGCAAAGATGCAGGCATTGTATCCACTGAATGCATTCTCCAACACGTCAGCTCCCAGCTGATCAAAAACAAACTCTTGCCCGCTGAATTTCGGGTTGTCCGGATCCACAGACCAGAAACAGTGGTCGAACGCAAACGTCTAAAAACAACAAGAACAGTTTTTGTTATGTTTTTGTGGAGCGAAAATTACAAACCTTTGACTTCTTGTGTCCTCCGCTACGAAGGGGAGAGAGAAAAGGGGTTTGGTAACACAATACAATCACTTGCTTTACTTGTAATTGATCAAATTACGCATAATGGCTCTAACACTGAGGCCCATAATGAAAAGCAATGTGCATATTGATGTAATAGTTATGCTGACATAGGCTTAGCCAAATTGTACTTTAGACTTCAGTAGTCAAGAGCAAAGAGTTTTCCATAATATTATATTAGGTCACTGTGTTATGTCAGGCTTAAGGATTGTTGAATGGTGTCCTGATTATCCGGTCGTCCAGATTACCGATCTGGACATCCAGATTAGGAATGAGGGTTAGGGTGCATACATACTCGGGTGGTGTAAGGAAAGTCTGGTTTCCCTCCATATCTACCACACAGCCTGCATTCATAGCCGTTTCTGTGGGGAGAGAGGCAAGAGGGAGAGAGGGAGCGAAGAGGGGAGGAAGAGGGAGAGGGGAGAGAGGGGGGAGGAGGGGAAGAGGGAAGAGAGAGGGGAGGGAAGGAGGGAAGAGAGAGGGGAGAGAGAGGGGAGGGAAGGAGGGAAGAGAGAGGGAAGAGAGAGGGGAGAGAGAGGGGAAGGGTAGTATACCCAGAAATTGGTGCTGAGTAAGATGTACAGGTATAAATAAACACAGTTTAGCACGCAGGGTGGCTACACTGTAGACAAAGTGGCAATTTACACAGCTCCACAGTAAGGGTCAGATTAACACTAAGAGAGCTAGGAAAGGTTTGAGCAATGCTATGGGTATTGTGGGATGCAATATGGTGGCTAGGGGACCCAGGAAGTAACATGTATATGGGCTCTCTCATACTGAACCCACCCTCCTTAGATCCCCATCAATGTATTTCTTACCGCGTTTGTTCATGGGCCGCACGCGGACGGCCACCTTGACTTTACTCATGGTTGCACCGGTCTCTCGCACACACGACGCTCTGGTTGAGGGTTACGGGGCACGGCGAAACGGCACAGGAATGCCGGGAATGACGGAGATTCCTAGCCGCGAATTCTGGAGCCTCGACGCCGACTGGAGTCCAGCCTCTCGGCTAGAGGTTCGTCTTACTCCCCTCGCCTTTCCCCGCAGCTGAACTCCACAAGATACCAGCGAAGACGCCTCCAAAACAACACCCAAAACTCTTTCTAATACTCGCTCGAAGGACCCTGTGAAAATCACATGACGCTCACGTGAGTCGACGAGGCGGATTACGTAGGTATCCGGAGAAGTCCGCGAATCCGTAAATTGGCTCGATAGCAATGCAGCGGTGGGTGCAGAAATGGCGGAAAGTCGGTGTCCGTTCTGTAAAAAGTCTGCCGCCGAAGAGCGCGACAGAGTCGGGCAGACATTCCGCAAAGACGGCGTGATGGTCCACCAATACTGCCTGGTAAACCACATCCGTAGCTTGCCTCGTGCGCGCTAAAACAAGCTCTCTTCCCCGGCTGTTTCCCCCTGGCCTATGTCTTGCAGTACTTTGCGGCTGGCCTGCACCAGCGAGGCGAGGAGAGCGAAGGTGTTCAAGGCTTTCTACTGAGCGACATCCGCAAGGAAGTCATCAGGGCTTCCAAACTGGTACGTGCCCGAACCTACAAAAAAAACAATTCTTTTGAAAGAAAACGTTTTATCTTAGACGTGCAAATACTGCCATCAGAAAGGAGCGGCCACTGGGTGTGTGGTCAAGTCATGTCGTCAGACGTGCCACGTGCCGTGTGGAATGGAAAACGGCTTTTTCTTGCAACACCAAGGTCGCTTCGAGGCCTTCTGCCCCGCCCACAGACCAAAGCAGAAGACTTTGCTGGTGGAAGCTGCACTCCTCAAGAGCCAAAAATGCCCCGCCTGTCTCTTGGAGATCGACAAGAACCGGCGAGACCAGTTCAAGATGCTCGTCTGTCCTGTTTGCGAAACCGGTTTCCACAGAAGCTGTGTCCAGCAGCAGGCGTGGCTTGCGGGCCTCGATTTCTGCAGCTGCTCCATGTGCAGCAACAGAGAGCTTTTCCTCCGGGAGATGCTCGAAATGGGAGTCGAAATTCCGGAATAGTACGTTTCTTCAACTGTGGTTCTAGAGAATGCATCTCTCCATTACTAGCACTCTAAACTACAAATCTATAATAATATATTACAGCCCTCTTTTCTTTTTACTTTTTTCACGGATTCAGTGATTCTGATAACCAAAAGGAAAAGCCGTGCAAAGCTGAAAAATTGCTTCTGTCCCGATGGAAGGACCTTCTACACCAGGGCAAGGTGTGTCCCCCTCTCAATCTCTTTACTTAGTTCAACTGGTGATATTTTGCAGTAAATATAGGCTCAAGAGTTGTCAGAGTTGCGAGAAAGCACTGGGCCATCTGGTGTGTGTGAAAGGCCAACTCTGCACTGCCTGCAAGTCTAAGACACCTGCTTCTGCCGACTCTCGTTCCAGTGCCCCGCCCACTAGTAATGGCCACACCCATACAGTGGGGGGTTCGACCGAATCTGGAACTTTGTCTCCGATCGTGGTGCTGTGTGACTGTCTGATTTGCAAGGCTAAAGCCGAGTCTCTTCCATTGCTGAACCACTCACCTGATCCACTTCTCTCTTCTCATTCCTCTCCCCCTCCTTCTGACCCTACTCTTCCCTCTCTTCCTTCTACACACCCTTCATCGCTGCCCTGTTCTGTTTCCTCCATCCCCACACCCACTACCTCAGTCCCCACATGCTCTACTTCATCCCTACCTCCCTTTCACTCCTCTTCCCTCCCTACATCCTCTTCCTCTCCCTTCCCTCTGTGCACCTCCCCTCCCTCTTACACCATGACATCAACGGCACCCTCCCTGTCTGTGTCACAGCCCGCTCCCCCTCATCCTACTTCTTCTCTCCTCTCTCCCCCACATCCTTCCTCTCTCCCTTCCACCTCAACTACAATCGCTACGTCAACCGTTACTCCCATACCTCCACCGAAACGACGTTTAACACCTGCCGAAATTCTCCAAATCGCAGCATCTCTTCCGCTTCTCTCAACTCCCGGTTCCCCTCTACCTCTCTTCTCTGCACCCCCTGCCCCTCCACCAATGATTGTGGAATCCCCTGTCACACTCTCTAGCCTCTTACATTCCTCGCAGAACCCTCCCGCGACTTCGATTAGAGTCGCTGAAAACAGGAGAGTCAGCGTTCAACCCCCACCACCCACCTTCCCGTTTCTTCCTCTTTATCCGCATCACCTCCTCTGTTCTCACATCCGTACAGCACTTTTGGCAGCAGCTCTGGCTAGACCACCTCTGGCTAGACCGCCTCTGTCTCAGCCCTCCTCCACTCCAACCTCGCACAGTGTGCCGCCAAGAATTTTACCAAACCCCCACCAGCTTTTGTCTCGTGTACCTTTCTACCACCACCACCTACAACAACAACAACATATTCAGCAACAACAACAACAAGAAGTTCAACATCTTCGTCACCTATTTCCATTTCAACACCAGCAACAACCGATGCCACACCCACCGAGGTTTAACCCCATTCCGACTAGACCATCCACTCCGCCCAGATCCCTCGCTTCCTTCCTTACGGAAGGAAAAACTTCTCTCGTCATGTCGTCGCACAAACCGCGCCCTGCTCTGCCCTCGACTCTCCGTTCGCTGAAAAAGAAATCGCAACCGTTGCATTCCGACGACGTGGGAATTTGTTCCTACTTTGAATATGTGGACGACCCGTCAGAAATGGAGCTCCTGCCTGATTCTGCCTCTCCACACACTAAAGCAACAGCTTCTAGAAGTGAGGGATTATCAAACGGTTTATCACAGGTTGATGTAAAACTTCGCCAGAGTTGAAAAATCACAGTTAGTATCAACTTCCAACGAGGCGTCTCATAATACACAGACAAAACTGGAAGAGAAAAGTAAAAGTCTGTTATCGGAGAATCTAAAAGCACGGCAGAATTTGAAACGAAAACTGTCTGCCTACGAACGTGACGATGCAGGAATTGCAAAGAAACTGTGCATCTCGAGCGATTCAGTGACGCTCACTAGTCTGACAGGAGAAGATGATGATGACATGTCATGAAAATCAGCTTTTGATTAGCCTTCCAGTCAGTTTGCTATCAGAGAAGAGCAGAAAAACGCTGGACAGGGAGCGAGTGAAGAGAAACGATCAGTTGACGGCCGAGTTTCTCAAAACTAGGGGAATGAAAGCAAAGACGCCTCGCCTTGTCCTGCACCGTGTTAGATACTGATTTCAGCCACTGTATAATACTTCATTCTTAAACTCCGGTCTCATTCTAACAAACTCTGATCAAGTAAAATTTTTATACTGCTATAACAATTACATAATAGGTCTCTCTTAATATCCACATCGATCATTACACTTTGCAACCACAGAATTTTAATGACTGCAGTGCTGTTCTTATTCAAGGACTGCAGACGTGACCTGTTCAGCAATACCGCATTTGTTCTTCCCTCTCAGAATCCTGAAATAACCCTTCTCTCCCCAATTCTCTCCCCAACTGTGTGGTTTTGGACAGAGATTGTAAGTTTTACTTCATGCACAGATTCAAGTCAGTGGCGTTTTTTTTTCTTTCTCACCTGTTTTTCACAAGCCAATATGGTTTCTCTGAGAGAAGGGTCTTCTCTGTACCGTAACCAACCAAAAGAACAGCTGTAAGAAAGTCAGAAAACAGCAAATAAGGCAGGAAACAAAAATAATCAAATGTATAAATTATACACCTTATTAAGTGGAAATGTAGTCTTGAGCAGACACATAAACATTTTTAATGGTCAACAAAAAAAATTGAGTAAACCCGTCACAAAAGGCAGTATGCATCATAAATACAGGAAAAAAGGCAGAGTGAGAATCACTAGCAGCACCCACCATGGTCAAGGGAAGTTCTACTGCACACCCAGGGGTCCCATACTCCAGAGTGGTAGAACTGGAGCATCGAGGCATCGAACACGACCGAGAGCGGTCCCCGGCTGACCAACTCTGCCTGCATCACCCTCTCGTTCTGGATCCAAATACAGCAGTTTGGGAATCAAATTTCTGGGAAATTTTCTAGGGAGGAAACTCTCGGTGTTTTAGAGCCGACTGCAAACGTTATTTTTCTCTGCAAATTATGGCGAATGGGATCATTTGGGATTCCATGAAGAGTTCTCCTATTTAGTTTGGCACTGAATCACATTTTCCATTAAAGTGTCCAGTTATACATTTTCCTATTGTTTGTCCATAATTGGGCGAATCACACACAAATTGGACTACACCCTGCCCGAGTGCTATGGCTGACACTCATTACCACAGATCTTCTCTTACTTTAGCGACGGCAACCCAGGAAGAAACCCTCAGTCCAGAAACAAAGTCGTTTGAGTTGAGTTTGTCCCCACAACTCTGTGTCTTATTGCAGTACTCTGGAGGCTGGCCACATCGAGTGACGTTGTAACCTGCGACGATCGATAATATTATTCACACTTCTTCTGCTGGAATGATTGGGTGCTATGCTATATAGTTTGGGGGGCCAAATATTCCAACAATAGGCACTCCAGCACAGAAATATTCGTTTAGATTTCGTATGCACATCCTATGTTTTAGTATGGGCCGTTAAAAATGTTTAATTTTCTGAAACATAATAATTATAATCATACCTGGGGCAGCGCAAGGGAAGCATTTCCCGTCACCTGAACAGTAGGGGTAGGCAAAATCGGATTCTATTCCACCCTGGAATTGGGGAACGAAGAACGGGAATGAGACAGTGGGACCGAGTAACGAGAATTACGAACCACTCCCTGCACGTATTGATAGGCGAGGTACGGCCATCCACCAAACACACCACAATCCATATTCATACTGTGAAATAGGAACATTCGTACATAGTAATAAAAAAAAAGAAAAATCACCATTTACACTACTTTGGAAGAAACTCCTGTGTCTATACTCATAGTAAGAAAACGGAAATGGCTTACTTTGTGGGGTCAAAGGTGGCGTCACATTCCACCAGTTGCTCGGCAGAGAGAGAGACGAGGGGATGTCCGCCCAGCGCCCACTGTCCCTCCAGGTTCCCACGGTGCTGAATGCCCAGCACGACCCCACCGAACCCTGGTTTTTGACACTCGTGACCACACCCTTCTCTCGCCAGTCAAACGAGTCTGACGACATTAAAAAAAAGTTGTGGAGAACCAACATAATTATGGTTGGAAACATCCAAGTGTGGATTTTTGCAACATTAATTTGCAAACAGTTTGAGAATCAACGCTGCTCAACAGCGAAGATGGTTATGCAATGCTTAATTTCAAGTTAACGTGAAAAGTTAAGGTTGCACGTTGAATATTTTCAGGCTTGTTTAGAAGCAGGCAGGTGACCTAGAGACAATGCAGACACCTGGAAAGTTTGGAGTCTGTTCGTCAGTTGATTGGACGATGCATGTGGGGTCGTGTACGGGGGGAGGAGAGGGAGGAAGAAGGACCCTCTGTCTGAACTCTTCTTCCGTCAGGTAGGCAAACTGGTTCAGAGCAAACGTCACATCCCTGTGTGTGTGTGCAGAACGTAAAATATTTCGATCGGTCAATCCGTGAAAAATATGTCGGGCTCACTGTTCTTTGTAGAGGATGTTGAGCTGCTCAACTTTTCGCTGGTTGGCGAGAAACACTTCTTCTCGACTGCTGGCTGCAGTTTCGACGACACACCAGCTGCGTGTGTGAAAAACAGGCTGATTTAGCTAGGTGGCTAGCACATGCGTCAGTTCACGCCAGCGTAACTACAGGTGTCGCGCTGCGTGCTACTCACCAGTACGTCAGCAGGGCACACAAGAAGTGCAAACAGACACCCATGTTAGCAAGCAACACTGCAGACGAGAGCAAGCTAGCTATTACGTAAACGAGAGGTGCTTACAAGCTCCGCCCACTTGCAAACTAAGGTATACGGAGGTGGGCAAAGATATACGGACATTGCGAGTTGCTGAATCAGCACTATTTGCTGGGTGCGGTTTCAGCCAGGAGCAGTGTTTACAAAAGCATGCTCTCCCTCTCCTCTCCGGGCAGGGCGATGGCGGGGAGTGGAGTGTACGCACGACACGGCTTCGTCCGGTGGTCCGCCATCGCCTCCATAATCTCCATCTTCTTCTTCTCCACGCTGCTCTACGGCCTTCCACTCGCCGTCTCGTTGTCGCTCCTCGCCTCCTGCGCCTACTGCTCTGTTACATACCTCAGTTTCACACTGGACGGACGCGACGGACGAATAAGTCTGGAACGAGGCTACGACAAACTCTTTACAGCTGTGTACGGAGCGAGCAGTGTTTGCTCGCAACGGGCGCTTCGGAAAGAAGAGAAAGGAGACGGCGATGAAGAAATGGAGAGCGCCCGGGCTCAACCGTCTCTGAGCTGCCACAAAGAGGCGCAGAAGATGATACGACTCATAATGCGAGACTTCGTTATCGAGTGGTACAAAAACGTAACGACGGAGGACGAATTTCCCGGAGACTGTCATAAGATACTCGAGCACATAGCGTTGGAGATAAACGTACGCGTGCAGCAGATAGACCTGGACGAAGTAGTGCGTGAGCTCCTATCGGCCGTTCTGCCTTATCTTGAGGCACTGAACCAGGCAGGGAGGGTAGAGTACAACGGGGTCGAGATTTTTGACGTCGGTCACGAGCGATGCCTGCGACATTTCGAGGAAACCCCATCGGTAGCCCATCGGGCCCTGCGATCGCCGGAGAGTGAGACACGCTACCATCGACAGCTCCTTGATTCTGTGCTGCAGTGTGCCCTCCCAGAAGAGTACCGAAGCTGCGACGTCACTTGTCTTCTTCTGAGAGAGATTCTCCTGCGGAATGTTCTGGAACCGGTTCTCTCTCTAGTCTGCGACCCTGATTTCCTGAACAAGGTAAAGATGTAGCGTGTTTCGAGGCTCTTGGTTTTGTAAAGAGCTCTCTTTTAGAGGATGGTGTATGATATTGGCATAATGTATGGTTTTGGTACATTGGGTAGAAATGCCCTGTTAAGGTTTAGTGTATGAAGGGCCCTCTTGATGTGGCCCTCTTTGAGACTAGAATATGTTAGTTCTATAGGACCTGCTCTCAGAGAACAGTGTATGCTGCTAGTGGTATGATAATACTGTTCTGTAGGGCCCTAGGTAATTGTGTGTCTTAGTAGTAGAATACTGTTCTGTAGGGCCCTCTTTTAAAGTAGTGATGTACTGCAGTGGTATACTGGTGTCTAGGGACTGTTTGCACCGTGTGTATATACACTGAGCAAAACAGAATTGACAGAATTGACAATCGGACAAAAGCTCTCCTGTGTTACATCTTAAACACACAGTCTACTTTCCCACTCACTCTATTTCGTATCTCTCTCTCTTTTCTACTTTCCCCCTCTCTCGCAGGTGATACCAGTCATCCTGAAGAAGGCAGATCCGGCTGAGGTACAAACTGTCTTGAACCACATCAGGGAGGAGAACAGGGAACTTGAGTGTGCCCAAATGAAGGGGCGACTGATGCAGGCACACAGACGTCCAACGCAGCGGTTCCATTCCATGTCAGAGCACTACCCGCTGTCTACGAAACCGATTCCCGTTCCCCTGAGTCGGATCTATGCAGAGTCGTTTGTCGTGCAGGAAGGTGGGGCTAGAGTGGAAGAGGGGGAGGAGGAGAGGGGGGAGGAAGACGACGTCGACGCAGGTCACGAGGTAGTGAGGGGGGAGGAGGGGGAGAGGGGGGAAGAAGGTGAGAGTTCAATTGAAATTCCAATGTGTGAGGAAGAGGGGATCGACGGGGAAGCCATTTTCTCTTCCTCTCCAACATCGTCTCTCGGCTCATCCGACGATACTCCGACCCTCCCGAGAAAAGGCTCGTTTCTGGGACTGTCCTCTATGGTCCGAAGGAAGTTGTCACGGCGACAGACCCTCCCAAACACGTCTCCACGGCAATGGCCACAGACTCTGCCCACCTCGTCGCCGAGGCCGCTGTCGTCGCTGGGAGGGGGTGTGGCCAGTTTGTCGTCGGTGGAGAGTGACCCAGATCTGGTGTGTGTGGAGTTGCCTCCTGTCTTTGCCACTCGCTACATCCATGTCCGTCACAGCAGCACCACTTACATTGGCTACGTTTTCAAGGTCTGCTTTTTGACACATACTCTATGTCAAAAGCATTGTTGTTCTCCTCCTCTCTCGGCAGTTCCCAAAGACGATGTTGTCGCCGGGAGACCTCCAGGAGCTGGGCGTGATCAACGAGGACACGCACCTCGAGTCGGTCAAGAGGTATAGCGACTTCACTCGCCTCCACCAGCAGCTGCAGAAGATCCCCGAGCTCCTCCGACACGCTCAAGGTGGGTCCTTTTCCCTTCTACCTTCCCTTTTCATCCCCTCCCCATCTCAATCCAAACGTTCATTTTCCCCATCTCCTCCCAAACTCAATCCAATTTCCCCCTAATCTCTATCCATCTTTCCCCCTTCCTTATCTCGCTCCCCTATTTCACTTTATTCTTTCGTATTTCCACCCATCTCGCACAAACTGTCGTTTTTTTAACCTATTTCTCCTCTTAACTTATGCCTCCTCTAATCTCGCCCAGAACTATAATCTCCCCCTCCCATATGTTAGTTTCTGCAAAGAGAGCACAGCCAAACACAGGAATAAATTTGACTTTGATTGTGTGTCCTGTTAGCACAATCGTTGCACGGCGACATAATAGATGTGGGTCAGTTCCTAATGTTTGCTAATGTGGGATCTGATGTGTAGACAGAGTGCTGTGGTTCGGCTAGCAACTCATGTTTTAGTGACACGAGTTGTCAATCCACCGCTGCAAAGACATGCATTTAGCACTTTGTACTAAAAGGCAGCTAACACTGACAAATATTTGCCCTCTCTCTCCCTGCCTTCCTCTGCCCTTTTGTCTTTTCCCCTATCTTACTCTTACCTTTTGACTTCTCCCCTCTCTCGCTCCAATCTTTCCACCCTCGCCCTCTCCCTCCTCCTCCTCCCCATCGACCTCTCTGTAGGTTTGGATCTCCCTGAAAAGCATGGTTTTGCCAACGTGGTCTCGAGACTCCCGTTCACCAGTAGAGATCTGGACCCAACAGCTCTTCTAGAGAGAAAACAAGGACTCGAGAAATACATCCAGGTATTATATTATAATTATGTATCGGGAAAATTTTTTACACCAAATTTTTACCACTGCACCCATAAATGTGCTAGTTGTTAATTTTCCCGTTTTTTGGGGCATCACACGAACACTAAACTTTGCAATAAAGATTTTGCACAGCGGAACAGACAAATCTCTTTCCTTCATCCACGAAGTGACCCCCTCCCCACTCCCCACCACGAACTGACCGCCTATGATACACTCCGCACTATGTGACAGGCTAATCTTCCCCCCTCCCATCTCTCCTCTTGTCCCTCCCTCCTCAGTTAATGAGCTCCAGACAAGAAATTCTGGATAGCCGCATTTTCCAAGATTTCCTGAAGTCTGGAATTCTTCTCCTGAGAGAGATCAACTCTCTTCACCTGTACAAGTCCCGACACAAGAGGACGCTACTTGGCGGGATCATGAAAGGCCAATCAGACGACTCCGAGGTGGGTAGAGATCACGTGATGATCACATGACATCATGTGACGATCTCTTTGAAGTCATGTAATGATCACAGTATGATCTCTTTTGTGGATGTGATGATCACATGATGTTCTCTTTGAAGTCATGTGATATCGTTACCCCTATAGCCCCTCCCCAAACGACCAATGGAGAGTGTTTTGAGTGCCTTCCTCAACACCACTCTACCTCTCCCCTGTCGAAGACTGAACACGCTCGTCACGCAAAACCGGGCTCCCCAAACCGGTCAGGCGAGTTCGCCAGTCATCACTCACCGGAAGAGGAGGGAGAGGTTAGTAAAGGCGTCCACACTGGACGATAGTTCGACACGAGGGCTCGGGAGTGAGGATGGAGAGGAGGTGAAACGAAGAACTTCGTCTCTGACAGATTCTGAGAGGGTTTTAGAGAAAAGGGCAGGTGGTAGTGTTGGAATTGACAACGAAAACGATGACAGCTGCGTTGAACAACCAGACTCAGGGAAGTGTGTCGGCAATTGCCATGGAAATGGCGTTACCGTGGACACGGTCACTATTAATACACAGCTGAAATCGCAAGCTGCTGACACTGAATCGTTCCTGGCAAAAACAAGACGCCATCTGGTTCATTTCGTTTCGTCGGTCGTGTTTGTATCTCGCACGATCGTGACCGTCGTTTGCCAGTGCTCTATACCGTTCACCCAACACACGCTCACCTCTCTCACTCGCTCACAACAACAGACGAATCCGTTGAGCGACGTTCTACTTGCCCTCGGGACGGAAGCTTCTAGAAGACATTGTCCCGAGCTCTGGGCCACCGACAAATCAACACAGACAGCTCTCCTCACGCTGGTGGGCGGGGCCATCGATCGGTTTCTATCGGAGGAGCTTCAGAGTGTGGTGAAGAAGGAGGAGAATTGGATGAGGATGTTGTACAGGCTGAGACACGTTCTGTGGGTGGAGGGCTGCAATGACCTGGACCGCAGCCCGAGAGAGACGCTGACAGAGGGAGAGAGGGAGGAGAGGAAGAAGGAGGCTATTGCGGCTTTCAAAAAGTTTCTCCCGAGTAAGTGTCAGCTTCAGTCATGTGATTTTGAATGTGCATCATGTGACTAGAGCTCTTTGCTCAATAATCAATCATGGGATTTTTGCCAGTGTATCACATTTGCTGCTTCTTGTGATTTGGAGTGTGTATCATGTGACAGTCATGTGACACTACTGCAGATTTTCTGCCCTATGTGGTTGGGTCGGAGGACTACAGCCATGCAGTGACACATTGTCTGGAATGCCTGAAAAATCCTCATATCAACAGGTCAGACTCTCAAATCGTTTTAGCCAGCCTGAATATATATTTTCTTTCTTTTTCCTTGCCTCTCTTTTGGCAGACACTTCTTTCTGAGGGTATTTGACATCCTACTACCCAAACTGATTCCCGAGCTCCATAGCGATGAGTTCCAAAAGCGGTTGGCACGGCTACGAACCCTGACCTCCACCCACCACCAGCACACGCACAAGCTGCCACATTCGTCCAGACCTCTCACTTCGTACCCCAAAAAACATTGAGCAAAACACACTTTGTTTGTTGATTTCGTTGTTATGTCAGTATGTGTCGTTATAAAAACACAGGAAATTTAATTTTGGTATTGAAATTGAAACCTTAAATGTCGACAATGACGTATATTTCATGTCCGTCTTGATTATGGTGGATCTGCATGTTGGAGTATGTGATTGCCTTCACCTCGGTTCCCTAGGAAACAAAACATTAGGTCATGTGATCTTCACAATTTAAAACTCATTGACACTTTCAAACAACCGAAATTGAAAGTTTGATCTTTTGTGTATTACCTGGGGATGTTTGTTCAAGTCAAACGTCTCACCATACCTATAGAAATGATGAATGAGAGATGATTGTACAACTATATTGTCCCCTTATAACCCTTCAGCTTTTATGACGAATGTTTCCTTGTTGAAATCAGTAATCTTTACTCTCTGCAGACACACACACACACACACACTCGACCAACGTGTATTGACAGTTATACAGGGGTTCATTTTCGAGGGGTCGTGATCAAGGGGTCCATTTTTGAGGGGTCGTGATCGCAGGGGTCATTTATACAGTGGAACCCCTCTAAATCTCGACACCATAATAATTATTAGTGATGTGTCTGTATTTCATGGGCCTAAAACATCATCTGGGTATAATATAGTCGTTCTTGGGAAGATCTGATTATAGTAGAGGCGTCCATATTTCAGAGGTGTCCTTGTATTATATATAGCTATGTGGTGATTGACCTTTGGGGTGAAGAATGGTTCAGCCGAGAAGAGAAAGAGGAATTCGTCGAGGAACTTGAACAGCAGTGATTCCAAATCATGACCTGAGAAAATAATACTGGGAGTTTTCAAGGAATTGGACCGGTCATTGCTCCCTCATCACTTGACAAAATTTACTTCCTTGTATTTTAATTACCTTCTGCTTCTATAGTCTCAGTCCCTGTCTCCTCCACCGTAGAGAGCTCCGTCATGTAACCAAACATCCCCACTGCAGCCTGCAGAATTATATGCAGCCTATATATTTCTTCCTTCAACTTCCTGCCCTGCTATTATATCATCCTCAATTCTAAATACGTGTAAATCTGCTAAAGTTTCGCACTCGCATTAGCTCGTACCTGTTCAAATGCTTCTTCGATGCTGTCACCCCCTTCTCATGATGTTCATCAGCATAAGTGAAACAACAAAGTTTTGGCATTTTGCAATACAGAAATTTTGTAAGGAGAGGATACAGGCATGAATCCTGTGAGAAAAGAGTTAAAATGCTATACATAGAATGGTACAAAACGCTCGTGTAACGCACTGTATGTCAGCAGGATGATCCAAATCTGCAACAAGTCAACGGGAAAACGGGTAACTGAGGGATTTGACGGTAGCACAGCTTACATTCGTACTTTCTGGTCGGGTCCTTGTTCATTTCCGCCTGCTGGAAGGCTCTACTGACCTCTGGAGGGTCGCATGGAGGCTCCGTGTACCCACTAGCCATCCCTGAATAAGTTCAGTCACTATGCCGCGCCCACATATCGTGTGCGCGTGCGCGTTACGATCCTTAGCAAATCTCGGGGGTCAAAGGACAAATTTACACGCAAAAGCGCCAAAACAGGAGGCACTGGGGCATTGGATTATGGAAAAACTTCAGGTAAGAAGACTCTAGAGGAAGCTGAACGAAAAAAAGAGAGGGGGCACCCGGATTTGAACCGGGGACCTCTCGATCTGCAGTCGAATGCTCTACCACTGAGCTATACCCCCGTCCCGTTGCGGACTACCGTCTCTTTCTGTATCCTCCTCCATGCAGGCGCTGTTGCGGGGACTTCGCGTACGTCAAGAACTAGTGTTTTCAGTCAGAGAAGACTACGAGAAGATTGTGTGTGAGGTTGAGGGAAATGGAGATAGAAACCTACAAAGGTAGCAATAACTATTAGTTCGTGTAATCTTGATTATTTGGGCTCCTTTTTGCTGTGCAGTGTGGTTCATTGGCCCAGGAAAGGGACTTTGTGTCTCCCTGTATTTTCAGACAATGCAAACCAACAGGTCACAGAGAAAGAAGGAGAGAGGAAAGAGGAACCATCTTCTGAGCCTCTCGATAAACAGACACAACCTCCAGTGGAGATAAACGAAGACAGTGTCTCACTCACTTCTCTCTCCTCGCTTTCTTCAAATCCACCAGAAGAAGAAGAAGCAACAATCGCTCTACAGCAATCAACTCCCACCACACACAACTACACTGAGAGGGAAGAGAAAAGTGATTCGGCCACTCTGAACGAGAGTGTAGAGGTTCTAGTGGAGTTGCTACACTCTGGACCACTCGTGAGGGGAGATCTGCCGAGGAACAGAGATTCCCTGCATGATCTGAGGGTACACACTGAAATGGAGCTAATGTGGCTCAGGCAGGCCATAGCCAGTAGGAGAAAGGTCAGAAACTATACGATATAGCAGAAACAATTACATAAACATAGTTTTTTTGCAGTGCTAGCAAGTGATTCAACATGCTCTCTTGCTTTGTTTCACAGTATCTGCAACTGAAAGATCAAATGAAGACACAATGATCAATGTTCGGAATGCGCATGCGTGTGGAAAGTGGGTGGGGCTGGGCTTACACGATCCTAATTTGTGGCAGTCAACTTCGTGACTCATTTCGTCTTCGACAAGAAGGATTCTGAGAGAAGATGGCCGGCCTTCGCATCGTCTTTACGCCTCTACTAATAGCAGTACTCGGTACGGGAATTGTTCGCTCGCAGAGTCTAATTTTCGACGAAGAGTTTCAGACGCTCAACCTGAGTCGCTGGCAGCATGAGATAACGCTGGGCGGCGGCGGGAACTGGGAGTTCGAGCTGTACTCCAACAACCGAACAAACAGCTACGTCCGCGACGGGGTCCTCTACATCCAGCCGACGTTTCTCGCGGACGATATCGGCGACGCGAACGTCAAGAGCGGATACATGATGGACTTATGGGGCTCCGTACCCGGGGACTACTGCACTAGCAACAAGTTCTACGGCTGTACGAGGACCTCGGGGGTCGGAGGAAACTACCTGAACCCTATCAAGTCCGCGAAACTCCGCACCGTTCAGAGCTTCTCGTTCAAGTACGGCCGCGTCGAGATTCGCGCCAAACTTCCGCGCGGCGACTGGCTCTGGCCGGCGTTCTGGTTGCTTCCCCGCGAGAACCAGTACGGAGACTGGCCGGCGAGCGGAGAAATCGACATAATGGAGTCGCGCGGGAACCCGCCGTCCTACCAACCGGGCGGCTACGACACGTTCGGGTCGACTTTGCACTGGGGCCCTGCGTGGAACGAAGACATGTGGTCCAAGACGCACGCCGAGAAGAAAGGAGTCGATCTGACTGCAGATTTCCACACCTACGGCCTCGTATGGAACTCCACGTACATCGGTACCTATCTCGATTCGCCCGACAACAAAGTCCTGGATTTCAGCATATTCGAGTCGTTCTGGACGCTGGGAAGCTGGCCATCCCCTCCGTGGACAAATCCATGGGCCAACGGAAATAACGGCGCACCGTTCGATCGCGATCATCAATCTTGCCGCGGGTGGAATGAACGGCTATTTCCCCGACGGGTTCGGGAAGCCCTGGTCGGACAGCGACCCGCACGCCGTCAACGCGTTCTGGGACTCGGAGGCTCAGTGGAACTCGACGTGGACTCAGCCACTCGCCGTCGAGTCTGTCAAAGTTTGGAATAACACCGCGGCTCCCGATGTCCGTTCGTCTTCGCCGCATTTAGTACGTGCAAACAAACTCTTCGGAAAAGATGTGTGAAGTTTTGAAGTGAAATTTGACTGATTGTGTGTGTGCCTCTAGCTAGCTGTGTGCTAATATTCGGTCTCGGGCGAGCGATAAGCGGCGCTAGCGCGCGCGTACGTGAACATTTTGCGCATGCGCGAGAGTTTAGGCTCTTTCAATTGACGCACACCTGAAACACGGGACCTGCTCAGTTTGTGTTTGGAGAATTCGCTCAACTGTGAGTCATAATGTTTATCTTTTGTTAGCGCAGTGGTAACTAAGTGATTTCTCAAGAACTTTCAACCGTCAGAGATCCCCAACGTTTGGGGGGCGAAACGTCCGGGTTCATTTACACGCTTCGCGTTGACGTTTATACCGCGTACCGGGGCTTGGCAACTTTTCGTGCAAAACGATGCGGCCTGATTTATAGAGATTTACATACTGTGAGGCGTAAAACTGCGTTCCATGAATGCTCTCAGATATCGTCCATAATACAGTGTACCATGTCATATGCCTCTTGGTGAGGTATTTTACAGTTGCACAATACATTCAGCACACCTGGCACATCCTTCAGTGTACTAAAGAACACGTGTAACTCTCCTATCTTACCACAGCTGAGTTCACAAGTCGCAGGTCATGTCTCGCGACAGAAAAACTGACTCCTTGCTCCAACCTGGCCGAGGCCACACCCCCTCGTACGGCATTAACGAACAGGAAGACAGCATCAATGACGAGAAGGAGGTGGAGGTGCGTCACTCCACCGACAGAGTCTGGACTGTGGCCGTGTTCTCCCTCATTGCCTGTCTGGGTTCGGTGGTGATTGGGATGTCCCTGGGATACAGCACTAATACCCTGGCAGAGCTGTCGACACTCTACAACGGAGGTGACGACGTGTATGGAATTGAAAAGGGCAGCACTGAAGCCAGTTTGTTTGGGGTGAGCCGAGGGTATATATATACAAATCTCAGAAAAATGACCCTCTGAACATAGTACACCTCTCTACGAGGGACACTTGGTTCTGCCCCTTACCAGACACTTCAGAATAAAGGACACTTTCTAGATCTACAAATTGTCCCTTATTCGGAGATTTTACTGTATACCTATACACACATTAGCACGCATAATGCAGTGTAGCCTACTTACAATGAATTTCCAAATCAATTGTCATTTCTCTACCAAATAGGTGAAGCCAAAATGCTCTTTCAGTATTTTACATGGCCCTTTAGGGCTAGTAGTACACGTAAAGCTATAGAAAGAGGTGGAGCTCTGCCTCTTGGTTTATGAAGATGAGTTGTGTTTTCTGTTGCTCCAGGCGTTTGGTCCGCTGGGGGCTCTATTTGGAGGACCAGTCGCGTGGCCTCTCTCCGAGAGGTTTGGTCGTAAGCCAGTGCTGCTGCTGGGCGCCATACCTGGAGTGGTAGGCTGGGTGGCCATGGCCGTCAGCAACCTCCTACCAACAAGGGACGGATTTCTGGCCTTTTTCTACATCGGGCGAATATTGTCAGGGTTTGCATCCGGGTGGAGCATCTTCTGCATATCAGTGAGAGAATAGATGTAGTTTGGAGGAAATACATTGAAAATGGCCAGATAGCATGCATAATAGGAAAGAGCAACTCTCAACTATACATGAAATTATTATGTGGACGGGGTCATATGAGGCTGAAGGCAGGTTTGCAATAGTGATGCAAGCTCTTTTGTGCATTTGGGCACAGCTTGACACTAGAATAGGTTCTATTCCAGCATACTGCTACAACACACAGTTCTCAAAAGCATTTTTCAAGCCTTGATATTTGGAGCTCACGGTGAACCATTCTCTAACGTTTTTGTTTTTGTCCCCAGGTTTACATAACGGAGATATCCACGCCAAAGTTGCGGGGGCTCTTTGGAAACTGCAACCAGCTCTTCATCACGGTCGGCATCTTCACCGTCGAGGCCCTCGGGTTCAAACCCAGCTCCTTCCTCAAGTTCACCGACGTTGCGCTCATCGCCGCAGGAGTCTTGACACTGTTTGCCTTCCTCCTACTCTTTGTCGTGGAGACTCCGTCCTGGCTGTACAAAAAGGGAATGGATCTGGAGGGGAATCGAACCTTGAACTTCCTCCGTGGCCCAAATGCCAACATTCCGAGAGAGATTCGCGGGATTAGGAGCATGGTCGATAACGCCCAGAGTTTTACAATCGTGGACCAGCTGAAGGCATTCAAGAATCGCTGGGTTTACCTTCCTTTTATCCTCGTGTTGGGTCTCATGTTTTTCCAGCAGTTCAGCGGAATAAATGCTGCAATCTTTTACTCGTCGCAGATTTTTTCCGGTGCCAAGGTATCTAACCCAACCCTCATATCTCTACTGGCGGTCGGTCTAACTCAGATCTTTGCCACGTTTCTGAGTGTTGTGATGGTCGACCTGCTTGGACGGAAGATCCTACTCACTCTTAGTAGCAGCGGCATGTTCATTAGCAGTGCCGGTCTCGGCGTCTATTTCCTCATCTTCAATCACTACTGCGAGAGTGAACTTGGAAACGGGGAAGGCTCGGGTATTGCACTGAGTGTCTGCCACCATACCAACTTTGGAGGTCTCGCCATTGCCTGCGTGGTAGTGTTCATCATTTCCTTCTCCCTCGGTTGGGGTCCCATCACCTGGTCAATGATGTCGGAACTATTACCGCTACAGGTCCGTGGCCTCGCGGGTGCCGTCAGCACCTTTGTCAATTGGACTTTTGCGTTTATCATCACCCTGGCATTTTCCGGCTACACTGGACTGGTGACGCCAAAGTTTGCGTGGTGGTCGTTCTCGCTCGTGATGCTCGTGAGCATTTTCTTCGTGTTGTTCTTCCTCCCCGAGACAAAGGGTCGGAAACTGGACGAGATTGAGGAGCATTTCAGGGAGGGCCACATCATCTACAACCCTTGCAAGAGAGAGCGGCGAAATTAGTGAGACATCTAACTCGACCGTGTGAAAATTATACACCGAGTTCTCTGAGTAATGTTGTGTGTATGGTGACGTTGTGGATGATTATGATAATTTAGTGTGTTCTCCGGTCTGTTACGTACAAAATTATGATAATGATGTTTTTCTGATCTTGAACTGTATTACGCTGAGCTGCGAGAGTGGCATTGAATAAGTGCAGTAAACTCCGAGAGACAATCATCTTTACTGAGATGTGGCTTGGACGATACACAAGTGGAGTAGGCTGAAACCTGTGGATATGAGCGCCTATTAGATAAGCGCCGTCATATACAAATTAGCGGGTTTTCCCCACCTCGCTCTGGCACTTCTTCAAGGTCTCGCCGCTGGCCCTGAGCTTTATTCGAGCTCTGTCCAGCGGAGTTCTGCAGGTCTCGAAGCTGGCGAAACGACTCGTCAAATAGACGTTATTCAGACGAAGAGGCATGTTTCCGCTCTGATCTGCGCCTACAAATATATACGCGCTTATGAAAACTTTGCGCATGCGCACAAATTTACCGCGCCTTTCCCGGGAGTTTGAATGCGCAGAAAATAATGTGGGCGGAGCAGGCTGATCGAAGAGAGGGCTCCAGGGATCGATCGGCGCAATAAACAAAGACGGCGACGCTTATCCTTGTCTTCCAAAAGCTCGAACAAGCAGCTAGCTCAGTCGATCGGCACTTGATCAGTCTCCATCGTCGCCCTGTAAGTTTCGAGAGAAGCCCTCTCCAGTTACCAAAATTTGGCGCGTGTCTCAAACCTTATTTTGGGTGGTTTTAGCAAATTCCTCCTCCTTGCGCATGACAACCAGACGCTGCAATTATTTCTTCTCACACTTACACACACACGCACACTTCTCCACGTTCTTCTCTACCCGCCAAGAGAGAGAGGAGGAAGGAGCGTGCGCGGTGGGGACTGAGGTTGACGACTGGCCGGATCACGGTAGAATGTCCGCCAGCTGGAGAGGAAAGGGCAAACACTCGACACATCAGACGTCTACAACTCCGAGGAGCAGTGAACTGAGCCTCACAGCGGGTCCTACCACCACCCCGATCACCGCGAGGGCCGGGGCCTGTCGCCTCACAGCAGTTCAGCAGCCCTGCTCGAGCACCAGCAGCAGCACAGAGACGCCCATGGACACCACCTACCGCCTCAGCCACAATAATGGCAGCAGTCAGGTAGCTATTGTTTGTTACACAGCCCGAGGCAAAAAATACTGACGATTACCGCGCCGACCTTTTCGTGTTTGTTTGTCACCTCTGTTGAGACGCAGCCGGCGCTCTCAGTACACAACCATCGTCATGACGTCGAATGCCAAAACCTGTCTTCCTTTCCTCGTGCCTCAGGTCAAGAGAAAGCTGGAGATGGACGCAGCCACGGTGCAGGGGAGTAGGGCCCGCCGGAGGCTCAGTTCCACCTGCTCTTCTGCCGCCGCGGACGAACTACGTGAGTGCTAGCGCCACTACTATCTCCCTCCCTCACCCCCTATCTCTCCTTTCCCAGGCTCCCCGCTGTCTACGGAGCGGCGCACGGAGACGTCGCTGGGCACGCTGACGAAGAGGTTCTGCGACTTGCTCCACGCGTCCCCGGACGGAGTTCTAGACCTAAACGAAGCGGCTGAGACGCTGCACGTACAGAAGAGACGGATCTACGACATTACCAACGTGTTGGAGGGCGTGGGGCTCATCACTAAGGCATCGAAGAACCACATACGCTGGAAGTAAGCCTGGCACGGGTGGGGCAGGGACTTGAGCGCCCGTACAGCGTTCCAGGGCCGCTTTTGCGTGCGTGTGTGGGGATAGGAGAGAGGAGATGTGTGGTGTGTAACCGTACAGTTTTGCTGGGGGAGAGGCGGGGCTTTCGGGAGCCCGCCCGACGTCACGTGAGCCAGCGATTGCATTCTTACGCGGTTGCCCCTGGCAGCAGCGGAGATGTTTGAGAATGCATTGATGGCTGAATACACGGCAGGTTTTGGCAACGTGCAGGCTGGTCACCAGATAGGTTAGGCAAAGACAAGGAGAGACTTACCACTGGCCAACACACCCTTTTTAGCCTCAGTCAGTATTCATTTTTGGGGCCATGGGAGGGAATGGGGGATTGATTCCAGGCGTTTTGCCTCCTCCAAATGTATTCACCTACATTCCCATCATGTGTGACTACACTTTTGGCTTGTCGCAAATGGGGCCGCACAACTCACACCTTTCCAGGCATCGGTTTAGCATTACGGGAGACATTTAGCAACCCCCCTGGATCTGGATCTTTGTCATTTTCAGCGATTTCAGAGGGTGCAGACACAGTTTGTATGTGCACTATGGGAACACCAGGTGTCCAAGAAGGTGTATATAGCATCAACATACTGTTTGATTCAGTAACCACAGCACACGTACACACCCAATGTGGGGTTAGCCTTGACCCAACTAATAGAAATTTCACGCTAGTGATCAAGAAAACTCCCTCGTCCTCCCACCCTCTCTCTCTCTCTCTCCCACATGAAAACTGGAGGCTTGACATAAACCAACTCTTGTTCTCTAAAACTTTTCACTGTCATTGAACTTTTGGAAATTCTGGGACTCGAACCCCATAATATTAACCTCGGTGGCACTTCCCGCTAATGGTGTAGGGTAGCTGGGTCTTCCTGCATGAGTGTGGTGACTGAATGGAGTTTGTTTAACGTCCCAACTGTACGAGGGGCATTCTCTGGAGTGTTGATTGCCATTCCTTTGTGGTTTGATGTGTGAGTGTAGGTGCTTTTCCCCTCTCTCATTTCCCTCTCCTCCATTTCTCTTCCCTCATCTCTCTCTCTCTCATTTCCCTCTCCTCCATTTCTCTTCCCTCATCTCTCTCTCTCATTTCCCTCTCCTCCATTTCTCTTCCCTCATCTCTCTCTCATTTCCCTCTCCTCCATTTCTCTTCCCTCTCTCTCTCTCTCATTTCCCTCTCCTCCATTTCTCTTCCCTCTCTCTCTCTCTCTCATTTCCCTCTCCTCCATTTCTCTTCTCTCTCCCTCTCTCTCATTTCCCTCTCCTCCATTTCTCTTCCCTCTCTCTCTCTCATTTCCCTCTCCTCCATTTCTCTTCCCTCATCTCTCTCCACCACCTCTTCCCCCCTCCACCATTTCTCTTCTCTCTTTCCTTCTACCAGAGCCTCTGATCCAGAGGAGATATACAAGATTCACGAACGGAAGCAGCAACTGCAGCGATCGCAGGAGAGAGAGAGCCAACTTGACCAGCTCATCAGCATCTGCAAACAGGAGCTCAATCTTCTCTCAGAAAACCAAGAAAATTGGCAGTATCCTTAAATTTTTGAAGCAACATTGTAAAAAATTTAACAGACCATGTCCTATACATAAAATTGTCGGCCAGCTCACTCTAAGTTCTGTTAGAGAGAAAGGCTGAAAATTGTGGTTTTCTTGACCAGATGGTGTTCAGATTGTCAGTGACGTACCACGATCTTCGCAGTGTGAGAGAGTTTCAAGACAAGACGATACTGGCTGTGAAAGCCCCGCCCGATACCGTCCTGACTTGTGACGCACAAGAGGTGTGGTGGACTGTGGGACATCGAAGTGTCCTTTTTTAATGGTGTCCCTTGTTCCAAGGTTGTATTATGGGAAGAACCAAATGTCTTTTACAGAGAGGTGTCTTCCATTCAGAGGGTCCTTTTTCAGAGGTTTTGGTTCTGTTTGACTTTACACTTGCTCCATGTACCTCACTTGCGGTTCATGTAGACGGCTTATGTGTAATACTGTTAACAATGGGCTAACAGCTCTAATATTAGGTGTAAAAGTGGTCTGCTGTTGGTTTAGTTTTGTCTGTGTCTGTCTGTTCTTCCATTTACCATTGAGAAACACTTCTTTCTGTGTGTCTGTGTCTGTGTGTAGCCAGGACCTCACTCCCACTTGTGGTGGTATTATCTCCTGGCTGGCTGTCAGCTGAAATGTGGTTTCCTCTGTAAACCAACCAACACACTCACCCACAATGAGTAGCCAAAGTCCGTGGGGTGCATTTGGTTGTGTTCACATTGGCGTCCTCCTTACCTTCATCTGATACTACACAGGGTGGTTTAAACGGGCCCTGAATATAGAATCTCTGAAATGAGGACGCGTCTCTAATTCCCCACAAACAGTTTCTTGAATGCTAATTTAACCCCTGAAATAGGGACACCTCCCCTGCTGTCAGCACAACCAAAAATGCACTCAGTGGTCACCAGGACCCTTTTCCTCTTCTGAGGGTGAGGTCTGGGCACTGACACAGTTTATACAAGTTACTCCCTAACTAGATCCATGCATGCCTGCACTCTGGGGACCTCTACAGTCAACACCTCTCTCCTGGGGCTAGCCTCCTCTGTTCACGGTTGACCTGTCTCACTGGGCGGACTGACTATACAGCAGCTAACATGCAGACACTATCACCAAGTGTGGTATAGTGATGGCGCAGGTTTATGCCTGTACATTTGAGAAATTCATGTAGTGTGTGACTTATCCGACTGGGTGGACTGCCCACCAGCTACTGGCAGCTAGCATGCAGACACCGACCGTGACTGCCCCAGTGCATGGATTCATAGCATTAGTTGTGGGTCTTGTGGTGCTCAAAACAGCTCGGGGCTAGAACACACACTTGCACTAATGGAGCTAAAACTAATGACAGAATTTGACATCACAGTGTTGTAGGGTTTGCCGCAGTCATCTTAGTAAGGAAGAATTCTTTTGGGTGGTGTCATGATTTGGATTCTCAACCAGTGCAGCTCCGTTTGATCTTCCTGGGTATTGTTGAATTGTTAATATGCACTTTCCCTGCATTAAACTTAACACCCCTGATTCACTTGAGGTATTCTTAGTCACCCTCATATCTTAATCCCCTCTCTACTGCAGAGCTATCAGATGCATTTGAAGAGCACCCGCGGCCCCATTGACGTCCTGGTGTGCCCCGAGATCGAAGACGATCGTCCTCCCTCCCCCTCTCCCTCAACTCACGCAGACCACACCCCCTACACCAGCTGCGACGAGTCAACAACTCCGCATAAACTGACAATGTCCCAACAGCACCAAGACTTTAGCAACCTGTCCTCCAGTAGTGCCGCTGTGGCTGCTGCCGGGCTGATATCAGCAGACGAGAACGACGTTTCCCTCAGTTCGATAGCCGACGCGGCACCGGACGACCTGGACTGTCTCCTGAGCGGACTAGGGCAGCTAGACCCCGGCGTGCTACTCCCGAGCCTCGCCAGTTTCGAGTCGCTCTCTCCCCCACTTCAAGATGGGGATTTTAACTTTGGACTGGACGTGACTGAAGGTATAGGAGACCTTTTCGACTTGTAGTATATATTCATCATCGTGACTGACACTACGAAAACCACCAAGAATTTTATCTTCTCTTTGCCGTATTTTGTGAATGTTTCCCCTCCCCCCACCCTCGGCATGTGTAAAGCCAATGTGACTGTTTGTGTGATTTAACCCCTCGTGGTCCCCCTGTTATAGTGATGATGTCATTGTTATGTAGTGCTTTGACTCCGTCTGTATGTATGTCTTCCCTCACATATATGTGTAGTGTCTTTGTGTACATCTTCATGATTGTATCATATTATACTTTATCTGATTGATGCAACAAGATTCTGTAGATTATTTGCACTTTTTGTTCATGTTGTGCGGACTTGTGTACAGGACACCCATCATCATGTCAAAATGTCTCTCTGTAGCTAAAATTATTTGCACTGCTCTTTTTATCGTTATTATCATTTTTACAAAGGAAAAAGTGTAAGAAATTATTGTATAGTCAAAGATGGTATAAATTTTCAAATTCACATCCGTGAACCTGAGAGCTGCAGAGCCTGTGGGGGGAATTCAAATTTTACAGTGGAGCCCCTCTCTAATAAGGACACCCCTGAAATGAGGACCCCTCTCTAATATGGTGGTATATTCTTTCCCTGAAAACAGTTTTCTTGCATGGAATTCAACAGCTCAAATGAAAAACAGTTTTCTTGCATGGAATTCAACAGGTCAAATAAGGACACCTGATGACTAATAATAATATGGACACTTTCTTGGTGTATGTACAGACTTGTTATGAGGCTTATAATTATTGTTCACACTTGCAGTGGTGACTTTGGCACAGATTAATAGACCTTGGAATGCTTATAGTACAGGCTTCGTTTGTCCCACGACAGATGGAAAATACACATCAACCCAATCAACACGCTGCTCACATCCACCAGTTACCTGGTGTGATTGTGCATGTGGGCTGGATGGGTGTGGTTGTGAGCAACCATATTGAAATGTGGTCATTAAATCACAGTTTACCTCGCAAAAGCTAATCCATTGTCTATGATTTATATGCTGACACATTGATAGTGGACACACAGCACAAATAGTTACTACTCACTTGTTGTAAGTGAGTATATACTTATCCAAACCAATAACAACGAACAACTATTGTGTTTTGGTAGCGTGTGTAAGACTGGGTATTGTCGCACACCTTTTCCTTTGTGGTGGGTTTGGTGTTGGATCTTGGAGGCTCGTCGAATTCCCGCGAGACTACCACAAGGAATTCTGACTGGTCATCACTGCTGTACGAATACTGAGAGCCTATGTTCACTAACTGGCGTGTGTGTGTGTGAGGGGGGGGGGGGTGAAAAAATAAGCGGGTTGTTAAATTTATAGCTAGTGTCCGTGAGATCTGGCAGGGTCTAAATGTAGGTACCTGTGTCATTTTCCAGCCGTCAGAGAGAGTTGAGAGCATTTGGGTCAGCTCTCCTTCCTGGCAGTGGAGTACCCGGTACACCTGTTTCTGATCACTCTTGAACTAATACACCCATCATGGAGACAGGGGGAGAGAGAGAGAGAGGGAAATGTACAGCTTTATCTCACTGCCCTATCCTTATTTCGCTGTCCCTATTCCTTCTCGCCTTATCTTGCTTTCTATTTTCCTATCTCGCTTTATTTGGCTGGGCCTATTCCTATCTCGCCTTTATTTCACTGTCCCTATTCCTATATTCCAGTTATGTGAAGAACTGGTTGCTAACCTCAGAAACCCTCAATTTGCTCTTCTCCTTAATGACCGCCGTGAGTGTCGAGAGGTTGTAAAACTCCGCCTCTTCTGCCACGCCCTCTTCCGATATTCCTCCGTCGATGATGAGCCGCCCGTGTCTGAGGTAGTTGAGAATGGGGGGAAAATAGCGCGGGTCCCTGTCAATTAGATAGGCTCCAGTCTCGTCCTGCAAAATAGCAGTGTATAAAACCTATCAATGGAGGTAAAATGCAGACAAACCTAGCATACAATCAAGAACGACAAAAGCTGTGAAAAAACACCCAATGTTGAAGAACGGTTTGTCTGGCCTTGCGTACAAACACATGCATGAAAAACTAACCACTCTAAAATAATCTTGACTATATGGAGTGTGCCAACAATATGCACCCTCCATCTGCCTTCGAAACTGTGTAAAATGGGTGGCCACACTTGCAGCGTGTGATACCGCTCGTCCAAAGTTAGAGGCAAGCTAATCCTCTCCTGACCTTGAGAGAGGGAAGGTCTGGGTCGTCCTGGCAGAGCCGTGCCAGGAAACCGCTCTTCTCCCTGCAGAGTGTGGTCTTGGTCGTGAGAAACACGGTCCCTCCGACGTTCAGACGAACCCACTCGTCCCTCGATCCCACATTTGCCGCTCCTGGCGAGTTGCTTTCACCGCTACCTCCCTGCATCCCGTTGGCTACCCGATCCGCCGCCATCCTTACCACAACGCTGATCGGCAAAAGCACGCTTCTAATTATTGCCCCCCTTCGATAGGTCAAAGTTCATCCCGCACCAGCGCAAGCGGAAACAAATGGGTGTGGCTAATAAATAATTAATCTCGCGGTTTTCCCCGCCCCCTTCCTCTACCGCGAGTGTTTCCTTGTTTTTGTGACCTCCTCGAAGCCTGGAAAGTTTTTTTCTTCCTCTTCCGCAGAATTTGTTCACTCGTTTTCAAATCTCCGACTGTCGCTCCCTTACCACCGGCTCCTTTCCCTCCTCCTCTCCACTTTCCCCTTCCCCTCCTCCCCCCTCTCCCACCCTCACTCCCTCCCTGAAACCCCTCCCCCTCCTCTCCTCCAGTCGTCAAACTATCGATCTTGTGTCTCTCCCTCCACTGCTGGTACAAATGGGTCTTGTAAGACGACGAAATCTTTCTCCCACTCTCCGTTTTTATCTTCTTAGAATTTGCCTCACTTCCCGTCTGACCCACAAATCTTTTCCTCTTTCTGTCCCTGCAAATTTTTTTACAAAGGACGGTCAAAAATGTAGCATTCCTTTTTTTGGACCTCAATACAGGGTAAAATTTTTACCACTTCATCTTTTCTTTCTGCGTCTTCTTCGCTCCCTCTCCCTCGTCCCCCTCCAGGTCAAGAACGAGGGACGCAGCTTCCTTGTCGAAACTTCCCCCCACGATGCTCAGCCCCTTCTCAGAGTGGTAATCAGAAGGAATGTGAGGAATGTAGTGCTCGTCGTCCCTCAATTTCAGTTTCAGTTTCCCCACGCTGCCAGCTGCATCTGCGACTGGCCTCCGAAACTGTTTAAGATCATCTTCAGTTGCCACTTCTCCATGTGCTACGACGATCCCTCTCTAAATACACAACCGACAGTAACACACAAAACAAATTCAGATTCTTACTCTTTTGATGACATCGTCTTTTTCCAAACTCTTTTTCCTCTTCTCTTTAGCTACTAGAACGTCGTGCATTTTCCTACAAAAACACAAATTTTGAAAACATTTGACTTTCACTTGCGGTTCAGCGCGTATACCTTTTCCCCGCCATGACCGTTTTGCTGGTCGTTTTCGTCGTCGAGTGAACTTCGAGAATGGTGGCAGCTGGTCGGTAACCGTGGATACGCTTCAGGAACTCGTCTCTCGTAGGCCCCTCCCCCTCACAGAGAGGGCTTCGTCTGAAGATTGGGTGGGGGTTTAGGTACACCGGGAGATTCTTTGATCGTGACACGCTCTCAGGGGACGGCTGGGAGCAAGAACGGAGGTACTGTTTTTGAGCATTGTCAGCAACTTTCAACAGTGCGGGCTGCAAACAACAGAGAGCATTTAGTCAAGTCCGCTGAACTTTACCAACAAGATTTACCAGATCAGAGTTACGCGTGTGAAGTTGGCGAACAAACTCCTCCTCCTCGTCCAGAATGGTCTGCGGGACCGAGCCGTACACTCCTGGAATGGAACACAGACAGTAGCGACATGGAATGGGGACCAGGGGCGAGGCAACATCGTACCGAGTTGTTCACTGTCCATATCTGGTTCCGCGGGGAGTAGGGGTTTGCTGGTGAAGAGATGAAGATCGAGACAAGATGGTAGCTCGTCCGGAGAGACCAGAGAATATGCCGAGCCACTCCTACCAGCTCGTGCCACACGACCTGTCACATGAAAGTCACATGATCCAGGTCTCGAGTCATGTGATCATATTGAGTCACACCCACCGACTCTGTGTACAAAAAGCTTGGGCTTGTCGGGGAAGTTGTAGTTTATGACGTTGTCCAGGGTGGGTATGTCAATTCCTCGAGCCTAGGGAGAGGGAGAGAGAGAGAGAGAGAGGAGGTTAAAGGATAGAAGGAGAAAGATAGACTCACAGCCACATCAGTTACAACCATAACCATCGCTGTTCTGTTGTGGAACTTTGCAATATTGATCTTTCGAGCTGAAAAGAGAGAGAATGAGGGAGATGAAAAAAACTGGAAAAGGTTTAAAAACTTCTCCACCCACCTGTTTGATCTAGAGAGCTGTACACATAGCATACTGGTATACCAGCTGATGATATTAGCTAATAAGAAAGGGAAAGAGTAGTAATTGGTTGGTAACATGAACCCCAATTTCCAAGTTTGTCACACGACACCATGGTCACTTAGTCAACTTGTCTCAGTTACTACGACAACAGTACACACGTTTTCACGCGCAATCATCCCCCAAATATTTTGTCAAATGTACAGTACGCCCCTGCATAATAGGAGATTCAGGCTGCCCCACCCTCTACCTTCTAAGGATTCTAAAAGAAAACTAACTGCATATGTATGCCTCTCTTAGGTATTTGAGTGTATACCTTCTGGTATTTGATGTGGTGTTTCTTGCACTTATGTGCAGAGGTCTATACACACTCGCCATAATTACCCTCGGCACGCATGCATGAGGGTTACAGTAGTTGGGTCTGTCTGTCTGTTACTGAAGGTCAGAAATTGAGAACGGCTTTCTCTGAAAATGCTCCGTTGCAAAGCTATGGTATTCGATGTGGTGTTTCTTGCACTCATGAGGTATATATACACACTCGCCATAAACTTAGCAGATTTCTCATTAGAAAGTGTCTGTTCTGCATATAAGTTGGCGGTGATTCGAGGAAACTACGCTGATTTAGGAACTCGGAACTCACTAGAGCCAGGCTCTAAATACAGTGGAACCTCTCTAATCCGGACACCAGTAAGAGAGAGAAGAAAGTGTCCGTATTAGTGAGGTGTCCTTGTTTCAGGGGTTGAATTGCATGCAAGAACTGTTCTCGGGGAAAGAAAAGGTGTCCTTATTAGAGAGGTGTCCTCATTTCAGGGGTGTCCTTAGAGAGGGGCTCCACTGTATGTGTACACATACCTCTCTGAGGTATTCCACGTGGTGCTTTGTGGGAGCGAAAACAACGGTCTGCTCGTTGGACGACATCACACTCCGCAACAGGTGGAGGAGAACGGCCGACTTCACCTCTGACCTTACGGCGAGGAACGTCATTTTCAGCTGCTGGCTCAGTTGTGACTCCACGTCCAGTCTCACCAGGACCGGGTCGTGTAGCCCCGCCTTGGCAAACTCCACCAGCTGCTTGGGCAGGGTGGCCGAAAACAACATTGTCTGCCTGCAAACATACGGGAAAAACACTCTATACTGTGGTGATTATAGGTTCAGTTGAAAGGTCGCCAAATTGTTTACATTCTGGTGTGGATGCATGATGCATATGCATAAATATTCTAGGGTATTTTTATGCGGTCCACCGACACTTAATTAGAGAGAAATTTCGAAATATTGACCTTGACTCGGGCAGCTTGAAGAGAATCTCTCTGAGTTGTTCGGAGAAACCCATCTCGAAGAGTCTGTCGGCCTCGTCGAAAACAACGTACTCGACGCTGGCCAACTTTAACTCCATCTCCACTAGCAGGTGGAGCAGTCGGCCCGGCGTGGCAACAATGCTGTTTGGTACACAATCAAATAAAAAGTCATTGCTCAGACACTCTGTTGATGTACATTCATCATAAAGATGAAAGATGAAATTTAAAACAGGAAAACGCACATTACTTGGTTGGCAAACAGACATTGGTGTATAAATCAAGAATAGCTACAGTTGTTTACTGTTTACTTACATGTCAGGGTTTCCGTGTAAGCTAGCAAACTGTTCTTCCATACTGTGGGTGAAGAGGGAGAGGAGAGGGGAGGAGAGGGGAAGAGAGGGGAGAGAGAGAGAGAGGAGAGAGGGAGAGAGAGAGAGAGAGAGGGAGGAGGATCAGGAAGAGAACAAAGAAGGTAGACCGACAGCAGCATACCTGTCTCCACCGACAACAAGAGCCGCCCGCAGATCTGTGAATTTTCCAAGCTGAAGAAACACAAGCAACCACCGTTACTATGGGAAGTTTTGGTATCATTTTCAAGCCCTATATAGCATTCGTTATTGTTTAATTGGGCCACAAAGTTAATGGGCTTCGGGTTACCTAATTTGTTCACATACAGTACATACCTCCTTGGTGAATTTGATAGTCTGCGTGGCCAGCTCACGAGTGGGAGAAAGGATCAGAGCTCTAGCCCCGATCTGAAACATGAGAAATTGGTCTTTAATGACAGTTCCAATTGCGTCCGAGAAAATAGATTACTGACAGTTCTAATGTCCCTCTAACTATTTTGATATCAAAGAGGGTTTCCAACAGCAACTGTGTTTCTCTCCCTCTCCTCTTGTATGTCCATTCTTTACCTTGGCAGAGTGGGTTTTCAGTCGGTCAAACATTGGGAGAAGGTAAGCAGCTGTCTTCCCAGAGCCTATCAGAGAACAAAAAGAACAAACTCAGTGGCTGACATTGAAACTTCTCTGATCTCAACATCAAAGTATAGGTATTAGTGAGGTGTTCCTGGACTGTTCTTTGGGGAAAGAAAAGGTCCTTATTAGGGAGGTGTTCTCATTTCAGGGGTGCCCTAAGAGAGAGGGGTTCCACTGTATCCGCAGGCTCACCTGTCCTTGCCATGGCAACCACGTCCTTTCCGCCCAGAATAAACGGCATACACTGCATGAGCAAAGGGAGCGTGTGTGCAAATCTCGTGTTTGGCTCATTAGTGTCAGTTTACTTTTCTCTGTATCGGTGTAGGTAGCCTGTAGCCTTTCCTCATTACTCCCTTTATGACAGGGAGACTCAGTCCTGTGTGCACGTGCGAGAGCGAAATGTCTCACGTGACACGTCTGAACAGCTGAAACGTGACGTGACCTACCCAGTCCGGAGAAGCTCCCGCTCGGCTTCTTCCTTGTCCCCTTGCTTCCCAACAGAAGACCCTGCACGTCTTTTCCCAACAGCAGAGCCGCCATTTCCTTCGTGTAAGAAACCTCACACGTGTTCCGGAAATTGACCTTCGACCCAGTAAATAACTTTTCACGCGGAAGTGTGGGCGGCGACGAAGCGACGGCACGTTATTTTACGCTGCCAGCCCGCAAAGAAGGCCTCAAAACGGGTCCACAAAACTGCTCAGGGGAGACGATTTGGATTAATCTGAGCTGAGGAGAAAGAGATTATGGCAGAGCAAAACGCGTCCTCCGACGGCGAGCCCTTGAAGGAAATGCGGCCGCGCGTATCATCCATCGGAAGAGGTGCCGGTGGCCCTGGCGACCAGTCGAGAAGACGTCAGTTCAAGGCCCGCTCGAGGGAGCTGGAGAGAGGCGTCTCCGTTCCCGTGCTTTCGCCCGGCAGCGAAGCAAAGGCCCCGCTCCCCCTATCCACGAAGGAGGTCGTGAGCGTTGGCCACGGTCAGGGACACGAGTTCGTAAAGAAGACGTTTTTTCAGCCGACTTTTTGTCATCACTGCGCGGAGCTACTGTGGGGGCTGAAGGGTCAGGGAATGAAGTGCATGAGTGAGTAACAATCATCTGCTGCCTTGCTTTCCTGCATAATTGCTCTGTCTGTGTGCTGCAGCGCGTATCTCGACGTTTCCGTACCCACGCCGCCGCTGCAGATAGTGCGCATTCGTTTGGAGCTGCAAACGCGCGTATTGGTAGTAGCTACAGTATACAGCGTCTCCTACCCGACGTATGTTGTAAGTTCCCAACGCTGCTTGAATGGTGAAGTATTAGTCAAGTTGGCAAGGCCCCTGGTTGCCTGAGAATCTGCATTTGTGTAAAGAGTTTTCCACCCACACACCCACCTTGCCTTTTAGAGTACAGCATACACGTAGTATAGTATAGAGCTATCATAGCAGTCATAGTTATCACGCTATTGAACTTAGCTATTCACAGTATTTCAGTTGGTGTCTCGTGTTGTGGGTAGGAGTGGTTGCCTAGATACAGGGTGAATTATGTCAGTGTTGCAAGAATTATGTCATTGTTGCTAACCTTCACTAAGGCAGTGTTGCTAAGAATAATGTCATTGTTGCTAATCTTCACTAAGGAATTATGTCATTGTTGCTAACCTTCACTAAGGAATTGTGTCAGTGTTGCTAACCTTTACTTGCTGGTATGTATAACAATCTTTCTCCTTCCGTTTTGTTATCCTAAAGCCATAACTTCTCTTTTCTAACACCACCTCTTCTTCCCTCTTTCTTCTGCAGTTTGCAATTTCGTCAGCCATGAAAAGTGCATCCCGAATCTCAGTGTCTCCTGCCGACACATTATTGCTGGAAAAATCACGGTCGGTAACAAACTATCACTAGTAAAATGCGACAAAAGAAAGTGTCTTATTAGAGAGGTGTCCTCATTTCAGGGGTGTCCTTATTAGAGAGGTGTCCTCATTTCCTTATTAGAGAGGTGTCCTCGGTTAAGGGGTGTCCTTATTAGAGAGGTGTCCTCATTTCCTTATTAGAGAGGTGTCCTCATTTCAGGGGTGTCCTTATTAGAGAGGTGTCCTCATTTCAGGGGTTTCCTTAGAGAGAGGGGTTCCACTGTAGTAAATGTTGAGTATTTATCTGAGGCGGGTTGTTCTCAATCAAAGAGTTTGAAATTACTCTCTAATTACAGGATCCCGTGGCCCATCAGTGGACGCAACCGAGGTCCTTCCACCGCAAGAAATGGTGCAACGTGTGTCGCAAGAGGATCCACGCCAAGGGTGTCATCTGCGAAGGTATGGAAACCATGGCAACTGCTTTTTAGTTGGGGGAGCCCCGCCTAGCGATAAGAACAAGGATGTTTACAAAATCACATCTGTCTCTATGGTTGTCTGTAAATATATGCCCCCTTTCTCGTTTGCGTCAATGTACTCTGACATGTTTTTTCTTTGGAGGCAGCGTGTTGAAGGTAGGAATCCCGTGGTACACAAAAAATGCAAATTTTAACCCAACGCTACATTTGGCATGAACCCACACCTAGTTAAACGGTTACTGTCAGCTTTTTTATGGCTCCTCCTCCTCTCTCTGGCTTGCTGGAATGTTTTTAGGGTGAGCAAAATTAGAGGTATGAAGGCCAACTGAAAGTGTTCTCTGAGAATATATTTTCTGGGTGGGTCTCTGATTTCTGGGTGGGGGTGCATTTGAACTGAAACAAGCAAATCATGGAACTTTCTTCTCCAATCTCTCTCCCCTCCCTCTCCCTCTCTCTCTCTCTCTCTCTCTCTCCTCTCTCTCTCCTCTCTCTCTCTCTCTCTCTCTCTCTCTCTCTCTCTCTCTCAGTCTGCAAGCTCTACTCACACACCGTGTGCAAAGCCAACGCCTTCAACAATTGCAAGAATTGCGCAACCTACAACAACGGTGTCAAGGTAACGACATTCTTGACTAATTTTTTTATTCCTCAAACCTGAATATAATATAGTACTCCGTTGTTTGATAGTAACCTTCAAGGAGCTTACCACGACAGACCCACAAGGAGGGCTTAATTAGGTTCTGATTAAATTCTAGTGGTTGCTAAACTGTAGTACATAGCCCTGTTTCTAAAATTTCCGCTGTTTCTGGTGAGATACACCAAAAAAATTCAACTGGATACATGGCTACTTTATTGCACAAGCTGAAAATGTGCCTTTATCTAAGGGTATGAATATCGTTATCGGGGCTAAACCGCAAGTGTTTGTGTCCGTTTTCCCACTTGCAGCAAGAGATACGCCACCACTGGATCGAGGGGAACCTCACATCCTCCGCCCGCTGCGTAGTGTGCACCAAGAACTGCTCGACGGAAAATTCTCTCTCCGGTTTCCGATGCGGCTGGTGTGGCTACAATGTGAGTAATTCAGTCAGCTCGGGGTTAAATTGTAAGTTCCCATGGGAACTTGGCACCGTTTGATACATTTTGTTTTCGCGACGTGAATCCATCAGCCATTTTTGTTAAGAGTCCAGATTGGCAGGAGGACGCAAGAATAGCCAATATTCCACGTTGCATCAACTTGATGGGGTGAACTTAAGAACAGGGGAGGCGGGGGGAGGGGATCAAATTATACCCATCTAACTGTTCGTGTTAACTGAACTATATATCTCAGTTTGAACATCGTGAATGTTTTCAAATTTCAACATGAAATCTATTTTTACAAAAAAATTTGGCCAGTGTGTGATGTGTATACATTCTCTATCTCTATGTGTATATACAGGTCCATTCGGCCTGTATAGGTCAGTTGGAGGAGAGAGAGGCTAACGAGAGGGTGTGTACCCACCGTGACCTTTGGCACCTGGTCCTGGCGCCGCGAGCTGTGACCCACCGCCAGTCGGTGAAGAGTCACGTGGAGCAGGAGAGAGAGGAGGAGGCTGTGGATGGTGAGAGAGAGAGGGGGGAGGGGAAACCATGTGGCAAATTTTGTCTTCTTGTGTGTGTGTGTTTGGTGGGTATAGATTCTCAATACAGAAAAGAAGGGGCTCTTTAATAAGGACACCTTTACTTTTCCCAAGAACTGATTTCCATGCAATAAGGACGCCTCACTAATACGGACACTTTTTCTGTCCCATTGGTGTCTGGATTAGAGAAGTTCCACTGTATAATGCTCAGGACACCTCACTAATACAGACAGCTTCCTCTGTCCCATTGGTGTCTGGATTAGAGGAGTTCCACTGTATAATGCTCAGGACACCTCACTAATACGGACAGCTTCCTCTGTCCCATTGGTGTCTGGATTAGAGGAGTTCCACTGTATAATGCTCAGGACACCTCACTAATACGGACAGCTTCCTCTGTCCCATTGGTGTCTGGATTAGAGGAGTTCCACTGTATAATGCTCAGGACACCTCACTAATACGGACAGCTTCCTCTGTCCCATTGGTGTCTGGATTAGAGGAGTTCCACTGTATAATGCTCAGGACGCCTCACTAATACGGACAGCTTCCTCTGTCCCATTGGTGTCTGGATTAGAGGAGTTCCACTGTATAATGCTCAGGACGCCTCACTAATACGGACAGCTTCCTCTGTCCCATTGGTGTCTGGATTAGAGGAGTTCCACTGTATAATGCTCAGGACGCCTCACTAATACGGACAGCTTCCTCTGTCCCATTGGTGTCTGGATTAGAGGAGTTCCACTGTATAATGCTCAGGACGCCTCACTAATACGGACAGCTTCCTCTGTCCCATTGGTGTCTGGATTAGAGGAGTTCCACTGTATAATGCTCAGGACACCTCACTAATACGGACAGCTTCCTCTGTCCCATTGGTGTCTGGATTAGAGGAGTTCCACTGTATAATGCACTTCCTTGTGTCTTTACCTCAGGTGAGGCCCTGTCCCCCACGCCTGCTGACGGGCCCGAAGAAGAAGAGGAGGAAGAAGATGAGTACGGAAGTAAGGGGCGCCCCATCATCAATCATCGATGGCAGCGGAGGACAGACTGACTTCAAGAAGTGGCGGAACACGCATTCATCCCACACACATCATGGTGAAAAGTCACTGCCAGCGAGCTCCTGGTCACCAACTACCGATAAATTTAAACCCTCTTAGGCCTCCATGGAAAAGGAGAGGTTCCCAGAGTGGACAGGTGAACAGGAGAGCAGAGAAGAAGCATGAACAGTGAAGCACCATGGAAGAGAAGCAAGGGGATTGCAAGAGTTTGGGAGCAGCCAGTGGGTTCCGAAGTACAGCAGACAAAGTATGGAGATAACAGGGATCCAGCAGGGGGAGATGAAGAGAGCACCAGCAAACAGAGAGCAGGCAAACAACAGCGATCAGGAAGGAAGAGACCAGACCGGGCAGTTCAGGGGGAGGACCAACCAGGATAGGTAGCCGTAGGGGATGAAGGGAGCGCGAGGCGAGACACAAAATAGAAGAGGAGGTAGAGGACCAACATAGAGATGTAAATAATGAGGACCCATTGTATATCCCAGATCAGTTTCAGTCCATAATTTTACATCATCAGCCTACCAAGTCATTTTTTTTTTCCATAATTTAATAACAATTCTATTGTATCAGAGTTCATCCCCCCACAGCACGTTTGTGGGGTAAGGGATTCCATGGCATTCCAAAGCAGATAGTAATGATATAGAGAGGGAAGAGAACCTCAGAGTGAAGAGCACTACAATTGATGCATCAATGCATCGCATTCATTATATTTGGGCACAGGATGATCACAGGAGGGAGTGCACAGGTGAGAGAGGCCCCAGCAAGGGAATAGTAGGGCATACGAGAGCAGGACAGTGGACCAAAGGAGAGAAGGGAAAAAGCAGTAGCAGTAGGTAGAGTAGAGCCAGCCACACAAGAGCCAGTACAGAGGGGAGAGAGACAGGAGCCCGTTACAGGAGCAGGTTCCAGGCAGCTAGCAAGCAGTAGGTGAGGGACGGAAAGGGAAGACAGGAGGTGAAAGAGTCAGTCGAGCCAGCACAAGCAGAGTCAGGCACGCCAGGTTGCCAGTGTGAGCAAGAAACCCATCATAGATACAGTGTGAGAGGGAGCAGCAGCAAGGGCCAGTGGGAGTCAGACCAGAAGGCAGCAGTTTTTAGGTGGGTTCAGCATGCAAGGAAAGGGGGCAGGCAGCCAATAGCACAGTTCAGAGTTGTAACACCAGCAGCCAGGTGGCGGAAAGCCATAATAGAGGCGTCCAGAGTTTTAGTCATAGAAAGGAAATACCCAGAAATAGCCACATCGCATATAAGTTGTCCATAGTATTAACTATAGTTATTGATCAGACATGATCAGTTGTGTAGTCAATTCAATCATTTTATGATTTGCATATGATTGATAGTATCATATCCAAAGTATGTTACAGAGCCAGCAGGGGTGGGAGTAGTTAGAAACCAAGCATGGGGCAAGGTCAGAGTGTCAGAGTCAGAGTGCAGAGGGAAAGAGTGCCAGTAAGTTTCCAAGCAGGCCATGCAGGGCAGCTAGGAGGGTCCAGGGGAGGTGGGAGGGTTTCAGCAGGTGCCAGGGGAGGGAGGAGGTAGGGCCAGCAGAGCCACCAGCAGAGGAGTTTTCAGGGCAAGAGAGGGGGCAAGGGTCAGAGAGGAGTCAGGATGCATTATCATCCAGCCAATACAGTTCCAGAGGTATGGCCGATCAGGTGACAGGGTTAGGCATATAGGGTGTCAGAGGGCGAGTTAAGGCAGTAGAGGAGGTTACATGGTGTGGATGGAGGAGTCCAGTTTTTTATATTTTGACAGGTGAGGAAGGGGATGATCCTGGAGCAGGAGAGATAGGCGAAAAGCAGTAGCATCAAGGCCAGGGGTTTGTTATAATTCATAATGTCATACCAAAGACCTTATTTTTAGAAAAAGCAGGCCAGGAGCAACAAGCGTGGGCATGAGAGGAGTTGCCAGAAGGGCCAGGAGGGCCAGCAGTCAGGGAGGGCAGGGATGGAGAGGGAAGGTTTTGCCCAGTTGAGGGTAGGGAGGCAGGGAAGGCCATTGCATGAGATGTTCAGAGGCTAGTGAGAGCCAAGGCAGGACAGTTTAAAGCAAGCAGAAGGGGGCAGTAGAAGGAGAAAGGAGCCAAGGGAGAATGAACATAGGTGAGAGAGTGCAACGCATTGGCAGGAGGTGCAGGATTAGAGGTGGGCAGCCAGCGCAGAGCATACAAAAGTATTGGAATACGTACAGACAAGTAGGATTAGTGACAATCACGGATATGCGATGGGGGAGGCAGTTAGGGAGCCAGGCATGGGGTCCAGATGAGGGGGTTCAGTAGCAGGGCATTGGCAAGTGAGCGAGCGATAGGAGAGCAGAGACATAGTGGCCACAGGAAGCAGAAGTAGGAGAGGTAGCACCTGTTTGGAGTGTTTCGCCAGGCAGGGGACATAAAGCCAGATATCCTGGGGAAAGCCAACAGGGGCGGTAAGGGCAGATCACATTTGTACTGCCATAAGACCCAGCAGCAAGCAGGGGGCAGAGGGGAGAAACAGATCAGAGGAGACATTCAGACGAAAAGAATTTTGCCAATTAGATTGGACAGGATTTGAGTTCATTACACATCAGATAGTCAAGTAAGGAAAGTCAGAGGGGTCAATAGGTTATAGGCAAATGAGAGAAGAAAAGCAAGTTGTAAAGGACGTCGCCATGACAGTGGAGATAGAAAGAGTTTGCAGGACAGAGTAACCAGACCACGCAGGCATTCGCATATGTCAGGTAAATGGAGCAAGGGGTAAGACATGGCATCATCCATGATCACTGAGTATTGCAGTTGTTTATATGATTAATTATAATCAATTATTCATTAGTTGAGCCACATCGCCCCATAGTATGTTTTCAGGACATTGATTTTATTATCCTCGATGATATTTTGCCTATATCTATATTTGGAGCCAGTGCCTGAAGAGGTCCAACAGAAAGCAGCAGCCCAAACGACGCAAGAGTTAGACAATGATTCAGAGTGTCATGATTACGTCCATTCACGATACATTCTCCCTCTTTTTTCCCACTTTCTTTATTCCAGCAGTTAGAACCAGAATACAGGATCATGCTGCTGAAGTGGATTCAAATTGCGGAGTTAATTTTACCCCCCTTAGCAGCACACACATGTGTTTACGTATACCTTTTCTCACACACCTCGGATATATCCTACAACTCTTTTTCCATCAAGTTATTACATATCCTCTACCTTGCAACATCATCCGGTTCCTTGCCGTTGTTACCACCCTTCCTCGAATTAGTATTTCAGAGCATCCAGAGCATGTAGCAGAAGATCCATTATATTAATGCGCAAGATACCATTACCAGATTGGATAGCCCCAGGTGACATATCACACATCCAACAATCATAATTTCCAATTTTTCATTTGGATTTAAACCAATACAAGGTATCCATAATTTATATACATTCACATGTCACAATATCCAACCATCCACATGGTGCTTGCATATATGGCTAAAAATATTCAATTGCATTTGACAGAAGAGTCATCCATCAGCATTTTTCAACCAGAGCAAGCGATACATAAATAAAGTTAGTAGGTATTTGAGTCAAACATGCCATAAATTGTATGCACCGGCATCTCCATGAGTGGGGGCCGGGTGCTGGTTGATCGTTGGGGTAGTGGAGGTTGTTGTGTGTTTGGGGGGTTGTTTTGGGTTGGAGGGTCGTGTGGAATTAGAGCCTGCAATCCAAGTTTGGGCAAGCCATCAGTGTGCCAGAGCAGGAAGTACATCAAGGATATTATTCATAGAATAACATATCAGTGAATTATATTAAGCATAACCAGTCCACATTTTCAATTATCTCATAGTTAATTTCAGATCCATTTTCATATTTATAAGTTGCATTGCCATCCACACATATGCCAGTCAATAGTTATAACTGATGGGGGTAGTTCATGAACAGAGACAGTGAGGAACAGGCCACAAGAGGGGGGAGGACTAGGTGGCACAAGAGAGACGGAGGACCAGAATTCAAAAGAAGGAGGTGCCAATCAGTCACAAATTATCCAGGGCAAGAGCAGAGGAGAGAGTTAGCAGAGTGGCATCGTCAAGCCAATGAAGTGACGAGAGGGAAGGGTTTCCTCTGTGCGAGGGGCAGGGCAGATGTGGGAAGCCAGGAGACAGCACAGAAAGTATGGGCCACCTGCAGAGGCAGGAAGGCAGGTTATAAGCCACATAGGTTCACACAGAGCATGGTTAGCCAAGAGCAACACAGACAGGAATAAAGGATGGGATGAGATTGTCAGCAGGAGTTTGCAGGAGGCCAGAGTCAGGAATCGCAGGGGCCAAGGAGGAAGTGCGCATCATTGATTCACAGACAAACACATCCAATAATCATTGAGCAGATGCCAGCCAGAGGCAGAGTATGGTAGGAACATGAGGGAAGGGGTCACAGCAGGCCAAGGCAGACGCACAGAGAAGGGAGCGCCAACCATAATGTATATATAGAGGAAGGAGCATAGCCAGGAACCTGGAGGCAGGAAGGAGGTGAAGAGAGTCCAAGCAGAGTCAAGAGGCCAGGGTCAGAGAAGGTAGACACATGGTTGGAAAGCACAGCAGTGAACAGATCAATCATGATGGCAGCCAGGAGGTCATCAGGGGCCAAAGGTCACTTATATGATAGTGTTGAGTACAGAGAGGACAGATGTTTTGTAGATTCACAGGTTCCGCCAGAGCACAGGCAGCAGCAGAGCTCCCTTTAGGCCAGATGAGCAGAGCAGGGCAGAGGCCAGAAAGAGGCCAGGGAGGGAAGGTTAGGGGGGAGCACCTGACAGGAGATGTTCTAAATTCCATGAGTAAATCAATGAGTATAGGGAGCAGTTTGCAGGGCCCATTTATAATCAAGAAGTGGGAAAGCCACCCAGAAGGGTGGAAGCGAGGGGGCAAAGACAGTAGGGAAGAACAGCACATGTCATGAGCAGTAACGAGAGTTAGGCAGCAGGAGAGCAGTGGGCAAGGAGGGTTCAGTCAGACTCCTTTCCAAGGGAGTTTGATAGGGGGAA